ATTGCACTCCAGCCTGGGTAACAAGAGCGAAACTCCGACTCAAAAAAAAAAAAATAAATAAAAAATAAAAAATAATAATAATAATTTTAAAAAGTTAAACAATTTCATGAAGAAGCAGTCAGCCAAATCCAGGATGTATAGGATATTTCATTAGACAAATTATCTGACAAATCATTGTCAGAGAGGGAAAAAAATGGGTGAGGGGGAATTGTAATAGAATGAAAAAGACTTAAGAGACATAAGTTATGTCTCTTTATGGGTACCTTTTTTGGATTCTGATTGGAATAAATCTTTAGAAAGTAGCTTTAGGCTGGGCGCAGTGGCTCACGCCTGTAATCCCAGTACTTTGGGAGGCCGAGGCGGGTGGATCACGAGGTCAAGAGATCGAGACCATCCTGGTCAACATGGTGAAACCCCATCTCTACTAAAAATACAAAAAATCAGCTGGGCATGGTGGTGCATGCCTGTAATCCCAGTTACTCAGGAGGCTGAGGCAGGAGAATTGCCTGAGCCCAGGACGCGGAGGTTGCGGTGGGCCGAGATCGCACCATTGCACTCCAGCCTGGGTAACGAGTGAAATTCCGTCTCAAAAAAAAAAAAAGAAAGAAAGAAAGCAGCTTTAAAACTGTTGATATGGATGCCTGGTTATTCCATGGTATTGGCGGACTATTGTTAGGTATAATAATTACACAGTGTGTATGTTAAGAAAAAGAATTTTTATCAGTGTTTGCAGAAGTTGTTGCAAGTGCAATGACATTTTAAGGTTTGTTAAGTATTCCAACCAAAAGAAAATAATGGAATGAGGGCTTAGGTGGAACAAGATTGGCAAAATGTTGATTATTTTTTCAATTGAGTGATGGGTACTTGTGGCTTACCTATACTGTTCTGTCTACTTTTATGTATGTTTGAAAATATCCAAAATAAATTTTTAAAAATAAATTCACTGATGGTACCTGGAGAAATTGTCATCTCTTTTGCAGGAGCACTGTTAGTTAGAAATGGGAAGCTGTAGTGAGTCAGGCTCTTTCTTGCTATCTTCTCCTACCTGACATATCTTATTTTGTATTTTCCCTATCCTGTCATTTTTGGAAATGACTTGGCAGAGCAACTAGCAGGTGTCTCAGCAGAGCAAGAAGTTACATCTGTCAATGGAGATGAAACCCTCCCCAAACAGGTAACATGAACATCATTTTTTGTTATTTTTTATTTTTTTTAATTTTATTTGAGACTGGGTCTTACTCTCACCCAGGCTGTAGTTCAGTGGTGTAGTCATAACTCACTCTAGCCTCAAACCCCTAGGCTCAAAAGATCCTCCCACTTCAGCCACCTGAATAACTGGAACTACAGATAATACCACCATACTCAGCTAAATTTTTTATTTGTCGTAGAGACAGGGTCTCACTATGTTACCCAGCTGGTTTAGAACTCCTGGGCTCTAGAGGTCCACCTACCTCAGTCTCCCAAAGCATCGAGATTATAGACATGAGTCACCATGCCCAACCTGAATATCCTTTTAAATAAAAGGTTTGGGTTTTTGGCCTGGCACGGTGGCTTACACCTGTAATCCCAGCACTTTGGGAGGCCAAGGTGATCCCATGAAGTTCGGAGTTCGAGACCAGTCTGGCCAACATGGCAAAACTTGTCTCTACTTTTAAAAAAAAAAAAAAAAAAAAAAGGAGGGGCTGCAGTTAAAATGGGAAGCTTGCTGGCTTTGTGGGGAAGAGGTCCAGGTGTGTATCCTAACCCAGTTACTCATTATTTGTGTGACTGCTTTCTCTTAGATTTAAAAATGGGGAGGGAGTAGTATTGAGGATAACCTGTCCCATCTGGCCAACAAGGTTAAGTATCAGTTGAAAAAATGTAAATGTGCTTTATAAATTATCAAGCACATCAGCTGGGTGTGGTGGCACACACCTGTAGTCCCAGCTACTTAGGGAGGCTGAAGCAATCCTGCTTCAGCCTGGGAGGTCAAGGCTTCAATGAGCCATGATTGCACTATTGCACTCCAGCACAACAGAGTGGGACCCTGTCTCAAAAAATTAAAATTAAAAAAAACTATCAGGCAGAATATGATTAGTAGGTGATAATTTTTAGTTTTAAAAATAATGGGCCAGATGCAGTGGCTCACACCTATAATCCCAGCACTGTGGGAGGCCAAGGCAGGCTGATCATCTGAAATCAGGAGTTCGAGACCAGCCTGGTCAATGTGGCAAAACCCGTCTCTACTAAAAATACAAAAATTAGCTGGGTGTGGTGGCTGGTGCCTGTAATCCCAGCTACTTAGCAGGCTGAGGTAGGAGAATTGCCTGAATCTGGGAAGCGGAGGTTGCAGTGAGCCAAGAAAGCGCCAGTGCACTCTAGCCTGGGAGATTGAGCAAGACATCATCTCAAAATAATAATAATAATGGCCGGGTGCAGTGGCTCACACCTGTAATCCTAGGACTTTGGGAAGCCAAGGTGGGTGGATCACCTGGGGGTCAGGAGTTCGATACAAGCCTGGCCAACATGGTGAAACCCTGACTCTACTAAAAATGCCAAAATTATTCATGTGTGGTGGCATGTGCCTGTAGTCCCAGCTACTCAGGAAGCTGAGGCAGGAGAATCACTTGAACCCAGGAAGCAGAGGTTGCAATCAGCCGAGATCATGCCACTGCACTCCAGCCTGGGTCACAGAGCGAGACTCCATCTCAAAATAATAATAATAATACCTATATATCATTGTCCTCAATATGAGTTATTGACATCTGCTGTGAATTCTGCCAATCTCAAAACATCATTTATCTACTCTTTGCATATTTCTATATGCTCTTTGTGTTTTTATTTGAGTCTGGCTCATTTTTCCCAGCTTATTACATCTTAGCTTTCTGTTATCAGTACATAAAGTTGTATCTTGTTCTTATTAATAGCTGCGTGGCATTCCATCATACAAATAAATTTTGAGTTAATTCTTCCCTTATCATGTAAAGCATGGTTGGTGTATGGTGACACATGCCTGTGTTTTCTTAACTACTTGGGAGTATAATACTTTTTTTTTTTTCCAGATATAAATCATGCTACACTGAACTTTTTTTTTTTTTTTGAAACAGGGTCTCTTTCTGTCCCCCATGCTGGAGCGCCAGTCATAGCTCACTGCAGCCTCAATCTCAATCTCCATGGCTCAGGTGTTGCTCTTACCTCAGCCCCCTGACTACTTGGGACTTCAGGCATGTGCCATCACACATGACTAATTTTTAAAATTTTTAACAGAGACAAGGTCTCGCTGTGTTGCCAGGCTGATTTCAAACTCCTGAGCTCAAGTCATCCTCCTGCCTTGGCCTCTTAAAGTGCTAGGATTATAGGCATGAATCACTGCATTTGGACTTCATGGAACAATCTTTTTTTTTTTTTTTTTTTTTTTTTTTTTAAATAGAGATGGGGTCTTGCTATGTTGCCCAGGCTGGAGTGCAGTGGCTATTCATAGGCGAGATCCCACTACTGATCAGCACGGGAGTTTTGACGTGCTCCATTTCCGACCTGGGTGGGTTCACCCTTCCTTAGGCAACCTGGTGATCCCCCGCTCCCGGGAAGTCACCATATTGATGCCAAACTTAGTGCAGACACCCAATCAGCATAGCACACTCAAGCCTAGAACTCCTAGGCTCAAGCGATCCTCCCACCTCAGCCTCCCAAGTAGCTGGGACTACAGGCACGTGCCACATCGCCCAGCAAAACAATCTTATATAATTGTCTTAGAAAATATTTGTGACTATGATCATGAGATGCATAATAGTTTCAGTCAATGACAGGCCACATGTATGATGGTTGTCTCTTAAGATTATAACATGAGGCCGGGCATAGTGACTCATGCCTGTGATCCCAGCACTTTGGGAGACCAAGGCAGGCAGATCACTTGAGGTCAGGAATTTGAGACCAGCCTGGCCAACATGGCAAAACCCCGTCTCTACTAAAAATAAAAAACAAAAATTAGCCAGTCATGGTGGTGTGTGCCTGTAATCCCAGCTAGTTTGGAGGCTAAGGCAGGAGAATCACTTGAACCCAGGAGGCGGACTTTGCATTGGTTGGAGGTCACACGACTGCACTCCAGCCTAGGCGACAAAGTGAGACTCTGTCTCAAAAAATATATATATAATATACATGTATAATAATACCACATTTTTATTGTACCTTTTCTGTGTTTAGATACACAAATACTTACCATTGTGCTACAGTTGCCTGCAGTAATTGGCACAGTAACATGCTATACAGGTTTGTGGCCTAAGTTTGTAATAGGTTATACAGCCTAGGTTTGTTTAAATACCTCTGGGATCATTCAGTGACAAAATCGCCTAAGGCTGCATTTCTCAGAATGTATTCCCATTGTCAAGCAATGCATGGTTGTATATCCATGAGATATCTCTAGTAGAGAGATTGCTATGCCAAAGGAAAGATATACGTGTTTTAATTTTCATGGATAATACCCAATGGTGCCACTTTTTATTTAAGGCAACAATATATAAGCATGTCCATATCTCATTTACCCTTAACAGTGCTTGGTGTCATCAGACATGAATTTGTACCAATCTAATAGATGAAAATGTTCTCTTTAATTTACATTTCTTTAAAAGCAAACACTTACCATTGTGTTTTTCTTGTAAGCTGTTTATATGCTTTCTTTGTTCTCTTTTTTTTCCTCCGATACACAGGAGCTAAATATTTTATAGCTGCTATATCTTTATATGGATAGCTGCTTTTCTTTGTTTGAATGAAAGAAAAAATATCCAAGAATTCTTTAAGATCAAAGAGTAGTGTAGTTTTCATAGCTTATATTATATTTTGCCACATTGCATTCTAGAATGACAAGTGATTCATAGGTGTTTCAAGTTTTCTGCAGCACTTTTAATTACATTTGTATCACTTTTTTGCACTTTTGTTCGTTTCTTAGAGTTGTACATCTTCTTCAAGATTGATTTTACATTTTCTCTAATTTGAGTATATTCTGATACCCATCTAGCCATCTTCCCAGAAGTCCAATCCTCTGCCACCTTCTGCTTCTGTGGATGAAGAAGAAGGGGACACTTGCACAATATGTCTGGAACAGTGGACCAATGCTGGGGACCACCGGCTCTCGGCATTACGCTGTGGCCATCTCTTTGGGTATAGGTGCATTTCCACGTGGCTCAAAGGACAAGTACGAAAATGTCCCCAGGTAAGGACCATAGGTAAGGACACACTAACATGTTAAGTCAGGCAAATTCCTAGAACCACTCTAATTATGTCCTGTTGGATTCTTTAGTGCAACAAGAAAGCCAAGCACAGTGACATTGTTGTTCTTTATGCCCGAACCCTACGCGCTTTGGACACCAGTGAACAGGAGCACATGAAAAGGTAGGTGGTGAGAGTATGCCTGGCTGGAATGTTCCCTTTTGGTTCATTGTAGGCGCATCTGAAAAAGGAGATACGAGTCACTCATAGTGAGGTTTTACTTGACCTGTGACTTGGGATTTCTGGGGATCCTTGGCAGTCTGTCTTATGTTGTTATTTATAATTCAGGCCTGATCATCTTCTGAAGAAAGTCTGCATCATTTGCCTTACATATAGCATTAAACATACAGCATTAAACAAGGATCTGGCACATTACTTGACTATTGCTGTTTTTGCTTCTCATGTCCGTGAGTCCCCCAGTAGTTCTTGATACAGAAAATTCTTTAAGTGAAGCGTTGTCCATACAGTGCAATAAAAAATTACCAGGATTTTGGAAGCACATAAACAGTTGCTAGTAAAACCACTCAGTATATGCTTCAAAAATACTAAAGAACATACGCACCATTGAGAGAGGTGCAGGGACATGGATTCTCTTACACTTTACTGGTTAGGATGTACACAGGCAAAGCCATTTTGAGACGTCCTTGGAAATGTGTCTCAAAGCCTTTGATCTAATAATAATTGCTCAGGCATTTGTTCTAAGGAATCATTAAAGGGTGTGTACAAAAATTTACTTAATGACACTCCATTTAGCATTGTTGAAAGTCCAAGGCAAGAGGATAAGAGTGAACGGTGGTGTGTGCCCAGACAGAATACTTTACAGTGCTGAAGTGTGCGTGTGTTGTCCTGTGAAAGCATGTTAGTAGTATGATCACATTTTTGTGAACTAGAAAAAGAAAACATGGCTGGTGCAATGGCTGACTCCTGTAATCCAGCACTTTGGGAGACCAAGGTGAAAGGATTGCTTGAGGCCAGGAGTTCAAGACCAAACTGGCCAACATAGCGAGATCCTGTCTCTATTTAAAATTTTTTTTTAAAGAAAGAAAAAAAATACTATAGGTAGTCACTGTGTAGATTATTTTAATTTTCTTCATTGTTTTTACTTATTTGTTCCAACCAGTAATCACTTAGAGCATTTTTAAATAATGGAAGATGTATACAGAGAGGAATTTTGTTGAATAGGCAAAATCTATATGTATGGCTATTAATGGGTGATTATATTTAAAAACAATTCACTGATTACAATAGTCAATTAGTGTACCCTCCAGACTCCTTAGAAAAAATGAAGAATTTCAAAATGCCAATACAAACTAATAAAACAGACAGCCTTGTATCCAATTTTATCAAATCTTTATATTTTTCCATATTTGCTTTGAGCCTTTTTGAAAAGAAGTAGGCTGAGTATAGTGGCTCATGCCTGTAATCCCAGCACTTTGGAAGGCTGAGGCAGGAGGATTATTTGAGACCAGCATGAGCAACATTGTGAGACCTTGTCTCTACCATAAATGGAAAGAATTAGCCAGGTATAGTGGTGCACGCCTTAATCCCAGCTACTCAGAAGGGAGGATTGCTTGAGCCCAGGAAGTTGCAGGTGCAGTGAGCGGTGGTTGTGCCACTGCACTCTAGCCTGGGTGACAGAGCAAGACTCTGTCTCAAAAAAAAAAAAAAATTAAAATAAAGATAAATCTGTTGACCAAGGGAAGAAGGAAAAAAAGGAAAAAAAATTTTAAAGAAGAAGTAAATTATAGAAGAGCCAGGCACAGTGACTCACACCTATATCCTAGCACTTTGGGAGGCTGAGGCGGGCAGATTGCCTAAGATCAGGAGTTCAAGACCAGCCTGGGCAACATGATGAAACCCTGTCTCTACTCAAAATACAAAAAATTAGCCAGGCATGAGGGTGGATGATTGCTAGCTACTCAGGAGGCTGAGGCACAAGAATCGCTTGAATCTGGGAGGTGGAGGTTACTGTGAGCCGAGATTGTGCCGCTGCACTCCAGCCTGGGCAACAGAGCAAGACTCTGTCTTAGAAAAAGAAGAAACACTAGAAGCCTTCCTGTGAACTACGTTCTCCTTAATTCCATAGGTAACTGCTTTCATGAATTAGGTGTTCATTCCCAATAGTGATTATGTATTTGATCAACTACATACGTATTTGTAAATTATACATAGTATGATTTAGAAGGTGTTTATACTTTATGCAAATGTTATGTTAGATTATAATTTTTTCTTCTGTAGTTTGCCTTTTTGCTTAATATTACGTTTTGGGAGCATATCCTAGTTGATACACGTGGCTCTAGTTTTTTTCATTTCAGTTTCTTGATAGTACTCTAGTTTTCTAGTCAAAATTTATCTGTTTGTATTTTATATTGGTAGACATTTAGGTTGTCTCCAGTTTTTGTTAATATCAGCCATGGTGATGAGAGTCGGGTCTAGCAATGGAATTGCTTTATTATAGGGTACATTTATTTCAGCTTTACCTAGATATTGTCGAATTACTCTTGTTTCAAAAAAAATGAGAGATTTCTCATTTTTCTATACCCTTGACAGTTTTATTCGTTTATTTTTTGTGAGACAGTTTCTCTCTTGTTACCCATGCTACCGTGCAGTGGAGTGATCTCAGCTCACTGCAACCTCTGCCTCTTGGGTTCAAGCAATTCCTCTGCCTCAGCCTCCTGAGTAGCTGGGATTATAGCTGTGCAGCACCACGCCGAGCTAATTCTGTATTTTTAGTAGAGACAGGTTTCTCCATGTTGTCAGGCTGGTCTCGAACTCCTGACCTTAGGTGATCCGCCCACCTTGGCCTCCCAAAGTGCTGGGATTACAGGTGTGAGCCACTGCACCCATTCCAATTTTATTTTTATTTATTTATTAAAAGAGTCTAGCTCTGCTGTCCAGGCTGGAGTGCAGTGGCACAATCTTGGCTCACTGCAACCTCTGCCTCCCAGGTTCAAGCCATTCTCCTGCCACAGCTTCCCAAGTACCTGGGACGACAGTTGCGTGCCTCCCCGCCTAGCTAATTTTTTGTATTTTTAGTAGAGACAGGGTTTCACCTTGTTAGCCAGGATGATTTCAATCTCCTGACCTCATGATTCTTAGCCTCCCAAAGTTCTGGGATTACAGACATGAGCCACCACACCCAGCCCCCTTGCCCATTTTATATTAGATTTAGTATTTTTTCCCAGTCTCGTTGCATGAAGTAGTATTTCACCTTAATTTACATTACCTTAATTACAATTGAGGTGGAACGTACTCTTTTGTGAGCAAAAGAATTCATATTTTTAATTCATTTGTATTGGGTTGTTTGTTTCTTACTGATTTGCAGGAATGTTTCGGTCAAGAAAATTTTTTTAAAAAAGACAGCACCTAGCTCTATCACAAAGACAGGGTCTTGCTCTATCATAAAGGCCAGTGTGCAGTGGCGCCATCAAACTCCTAGGCTCAAGCAGTTCTCCAACCTCAGCATCCCGAGTACGTGAGTCTACAGGCACATGGCACCACACTTGACTCATAATTTACTAAATGGTATATTTTTTCTGTACAAGTGTTCATTGCTACTTCTATCCTACATTAAGTTTCCAGCCAGGTGCAGTGGCTATATATATATATATTATGCCTATAATCCCAGCATTTTGGGAGGCCAAGGCAGGCAAATCACGAGGTCAGGAGTTCTAGGCCAGCCTGACCAACATAGTGATACCCCGTCTCTACTAAAAATACAAAATTAGCCAGGAGTGGTGGCATCCACCTGTAATCTCAGCTTCTCAGGAGGCTGAGACAGGAGAATCGCTTTAACGCAAGAGGCAGAGGTTTCAGTGAGCCAAGATCGTGTCACCACACTTCAGCCTGAGCGACAGAGTGAGAGTCTGTCTCCCAAAAAAAAAATCAAGTTTTCATATATGAATGGACTACAGTAGTCCCCCCTTAGCCACAATGAATACCTTCTAAGAGCCCCCAGTGAATACCTGAAACTATAGTATGTTTTTTCCTATACATACAAATCTAAAGGTTAATTTATAAATCAGGAACAATAAGAGATTAACAGCAATAACTGATAATAAAATAGAGCGATTATGCCAATATACTGTAATAAAAGTTATGTGAGCCGGGCGCGGTGGCTCAAGCCTGTAATCCCAGCACTTTGGGAGGCCGAGGCGGGTGGATCACAAGGTCAAGAGATCGAGACCATCCTGGTCAACACGGTGAAACCCCGTCTCTACTAAAACTACAAAAAATTAGCTGGGCATGGTGGCGCGTGCCTGTAATCCCAGCTACTCAGGAGGCTGAGGCAGGAGAATTGCCTGAACCCAGGAGGTGGAGGTTGCGGTGAGCCGAGATCGCGCCATTGCACTCCAGCCTGGGTAACAAGAGCGAAACTCCGTCTCAAAAAAAAAAAAAAAAAAAAAAAGTTATGTGAATGTGGAATGTGGTCTCCATCTCTCTCTCACCATATCTCAATATTTGTGGGTTGTGGTTGATAGAAGATATCGAAAACCATGGGAAATGAAACTAGATAAGGGGCACTACTGTACTCTTGTTCCATGGTCTTTTTGTTAATTCTTGCCCCAATATCCCAAGTTATAATTTATTGTAGCTTTAAAATATGTCCCCCCACCTTGTTCTGCAAAAGTGTCTTTTGCTATTTTTGGCATTGTTCTCCATATTAATTTTTTAAAGTTCATTTCTTAAGTTTGATGAAAAAAACCTTTGGAATCTTGATTTGAAATTGCATCAGATTTACAGAGTAACTTAGGAAGTACCATCTTTGTTATGGTTAGTATTTCCAGTCATGAACATTACATAATATCCTTCCATTTATTCACTATTTTCTTGTGTCTTTCACAAGTATATTTTGCTTCATAAAGGTCCTACTTAGCCTTTTACTTTACAGTCACATGCTGCGTAATGACCGTGGGGTCAATGACAGATTGTATATACAATGGTGGCCCCATAAGATTAAATGGAGCTGAAAAATTCTGTTGTGTAAGTGATGTTGTTTTTATTGAAATATCTTAGTGCACCGGCTGTGGTGGCTCATACCTGTGATCCCAACACTTTGGGAGGCCAAGGCAGGTATATCACTTGAGGCCAGGAGTTTGAGACCAGCCTAGGCAACATGGTGAAACCCTGTCTCTACTAAAAATCCAAAAATTAGCTGGGCGTGGTGGCATGTGCCTATAATTCCAGCTACTCAGGAGGCTGAGGCAGGAGAATCTCTTGAACCTGAGGGGGCAGAGATAGCAGTGAGCCAAGATCATACCACTGTACTCCAGCCTGGGCCACAGAGCGAGACTCAGTCTCAAAAAAAAAAAAAAAAAGGAAAAGAAATGTCTTAGCACAATGCATTACCTTTTCTATGTTTAGATACATAAATGCCATTCTATTATAATTCCCTGTGGTATTCAGTATGATAACATGCTATACATGTTTGTAGCCTGGGAGCAACAGTATCCTAGGTGTGTAGTAGGCTATACTATATAGGTTTCTGTGAGTACCTTCTGTAATGTTCATATTAACAAAATTGCCTAACGTGTGTCAGAACATGCTCATATCATTAAGCCACACATGACTGTATTTCTAGATTGCTGTTAAAATTGTTGTGAATACATTTTTAAAATTACGTTTACTAATCAGTTATCTGATATGGGGTCCGCTATTGATCTAATTTTCTTGGTCTTGAGTCCAGCAACCTTGCTAAACTGTAATTGTTTGTGGGTTCTCTTAAATTTGCCATAAACCTAATAAGAACAGTTTTATCTCTTCCAATTTTTATATCTTTTTCTTCCATATCTCATTGGAGTAGAATTCTGTCTTTGCATTTCATATTTTGAGCCTGTTTTTAGGTACATACAAAAGTACCATTGTTATTCTTGGTGAATGTGTCCTTATGTTACATTGTTCCTCCTTTTGCCTGTTTATGCTTTTTCCTTATTTCTAATTGGGCTTTTGTTAGTGTTTGCTTGATGTATACTTTCACTCTTTTTAACTTCAGATTCTTTTTGGGATTATATTATTTGAGTATCTCATGAACAACGAAAGGCTTATTGTTTTCTTTTTAATCCAGTAACCTTGGCCTTTTAACATATCAGTTTAATCTTTTATAATTTGCCTTAGTTAAAGCACTAGATTGGCTCTGTTCTCTTGTTTTGCCTGTGGCATTTTGAGTCCTTGTTTTTTAGTAGTAGTCAAATTCCTGACCATCACTCCCTGCTTACCTCAAAACCTGTTTCTGGAGAGATTTTTCTCTTTTTGTATTTTATTCACTGTCATAACATATTTACAGCAAAGTTCGTGCATCACAGCATGAACTTAACTCTGCTATCTTGATGGGAAGTCTTCTCTAGCCTTCCTAATCCCCACATGTTGCTGGCTTTACCCCTCTAGTTCCCTACTGAAGGAGCAGATGCTAAGGAAGCAGGCTGAGTTAGAATCAGCACAGTGCCGGCTCCAACTGCAGGTCCTCACTGATGAGTGCACTAGACTTCAAAGCCGTGTTAAGGTACGTTTGTCCTTTCTGACCCAAACAACTTTTGGAATAGGAATGGAAGAAGAATCTAAATGTTATGTATATTCGTCTCAGAAATAAATAGGATTTGCCAAGTTGTTTAGAAAATAAACATGACCAACTCCTTATTTTATTTCTGATTAGGGAATCTGTTCAAAACTTACTACATACTTTATGATACCTATAGTCTGAATTTTATTTTATTTATTTATTTATTTATTTATTTTGAGACAGAGTCTCACTCTGTCACCTAGGCTGGAGTGCAGTGATAATGATCTTGGCTCACTGCAACCTCCACCTCCTGGGTTCAAGCAATTCTCCTGCCTCAGCCTCTCAAGTAGCTGGGATTAAAAGCTCCTGCCACCATACCAAACTAATTTTTGTATTTTTAGTAGAAACAGGGTTTCACCGTTGGCCAGGCTGGTCTCGAACTCCTGGCCTCAGGTGAGCCACTGCACCTGGCCTTACAATCTGAATTTTAGAAAAAATTAAATAACCAGCCAAGAATTCCAAACTTGTTTAAATAATTTTACTTTTCTAAATCTACTAGTCATATGAGGGCTTTACTAGGAGTTTGAAGGTTACAATGAGCTGCGATTGCACCACTGCATTCCAGCATGGGTGACAGAGTGAGACCCTGTGGTTTTTTTTTTTTTTTTTCTTTAAAGGACTTCAAACAAAACTACTATTAAGGACTTCTATCCCTTACATTATGATGCTGTACTCTCTTTATTTCACTTGCTTGTTGAAATACTTTAAAAACTTAGCAGTTGTCTAGGATTCATGTTAACATTTTTGTATAATGGATAAGAAATCTTTCTGTATAAGATCAAGGAATTGTGTTTGAGGGGAATATGAAATTAAAAGCTTTGTATTTATAAAATCTTTTTCATTTTAGGACTTGCAAAGACTTATGTCACATCAAAATCAGAACTTAAAGCAACCCATGGGCTCCCAAGCATGTGTCCTGAGTGGCTTACCCTCCAGCCAGGGCCAGCACAAGTACCACTTCCAAAAGACCTTCACAATATCTCAGGCAGGAAACTGCCGGACCATGGCATACTGTGATGCCCTGAGCTGCCTGGTGATATCACAGCCTTCTCCTCAGGCCTCTTTTCTTCCAGGTAAACAATCTAGAACCCCAGTTTTCATGTTCTTTATTAGACTCCCTATGTTTATTTCCTCTCCCTTTTTGAAAGATTCAAGACTCACTAGTGGGCAAACACTTACCACAGCTCACCAAATTACCTTTCCCTATCAGTCCCTTGTTAGTGCAAGTACCCCAGGGTGCTACAAAGATGTCTTTACTGTCTATTGACTTCATTCTATAAATTTATTAACAAAGAGGGTAGAAATACTGATAACTGCCACGCATGGTGGCTCACGCCTTTAATCCTAGCACTTTAGGAGGCCGAGGTGGGCAGATCACCTGAGGTTGGCAGTTTGAGACCAGCCTGACCAACATGGAGAAACCCCATCTCTACTAAAAATAAAAAATTAGCCAGGCATGGTGGCACATGCTTGTAATTCCAGCTACTCACGACACTGAGACAGGAGAATCACTTAAACCCGGGAGGCAGAGATTGTGGTCAGCTGAGATCTCACCATTGCACTCAAACCTGGGTGACAACAGCAAAACTTCATCTCAAAAAAAAGAAAAAAGAAATACTGATAACCATGGTAAAGCAGAAGATGGTGAAGTCCTTGATATAGTCCAAGGAAAAGGGCTTATATGTCCTATTCAACTTACAGATTTCATTTTAGACTGGAAATGTTTGACAAAGCACTACTCTAAGGGTTAATTAATTCAAGGTGAAACAAAATTTAATACTTTATTTTCAGTAGTGTTCAGGTTAACAATTTCCAAATAAGAGAATTTAGGAAGTACACTGATTGTTTTATTAATACTAGGTTAATGTTCTCTCAACATATTTTATGCTTTTTAAGCTTAATTTTAGATTTTCTAAATGTTGAAAACCAAGTCTTTTCAAATGCTCAATTAAATCATTTCTAAATCTTGCATATGTTTCTTTCTGCTATCTTCAGCATAAGATTTCTGCTAACTGTGAGACCCCTTTTCTTTAGTGTAGTTTCTTCTGTTTTCCCACTTAGAGCTTCCATTCAAATGCTTCAAAATTATGTCTACCAAACTTAGGTATATGAAGGGTTGAGTGGAATCTCTAGGTTATCATAAATTTTTCTTTTTTCTTTCTTTTTTTTTTTTTTTTTTAAAAAAGATGGGGTTTCACCATGTTGGTCAGGCTGGTCTTGAACTCCTGATCTCAGGTGATCCGCCCGCCTTGGCCTCCAAAGTGCTTGGATTACAGGCATGAGCCACCACGCCCGGCCTGGTTATCATAAATTTTTCTATTCACTGTTAACCAGGTCTGAGTTGAGAGGCTATCAGGGGCCTCCCCCAGTTGAGGGGAAAGTAAAAGGATAATTTTGTGATGTTCCTTTATCCCATCTAAGTTTTTAATAAATATTTATCATCGAGGCTGGGCGTGGTGGCTCACGCCTGTAATCCAGGCACTTTGGAGACCAAGGCGGGCGGATCACCTGAGGTCCGGAGTTCAAGACCAGCCTGACCAATGTGGTGAAACCCCATCAATCAATCAATAAAAATTTAAAAATTTAAAAAAAATTTATCATCAAAACCAACAGATTGGAAAAATACTATCTTGTAATGTCCCCCAAATTGGGAATGTGTTCTGTTCTTTTTTTCTTTTTTTTTCTTTTTTGAGATGAAGTTTCACTCATGTTACCCAGGCTGGAGTGCAATGGCGCGATCTCGGCTCACCGCAACCTCCGCCTCCTGGGTTCAGGCAATTCTCCTGCCTCAGCCTCCTGAGTCGCTGGGATTACAGGCACGCGCCACCATGCCCAGCTAATTTTTTGTATTTTTAGTAGAGATGGGGTTTCACCATGTTGACCAGGATGGTCTCGATCTCTTGACCTCGTGATCCACCCGCCTCGGCCTCCCAAAGTGCTGGGATTACAGGCTTGAGCCACCGCGCTCGGCTCTTTTTTTCTTAAAGTGTCCATTGCAGTCTGCTTGATACTGTGCTGGTGCTGATTTGTCCTTGTTCCCCTAAATGATTAACTCGGTGTGTATTTATGTTACCTTATTGATTTTTTTTGTTGTTGTTTTTTCTTTTTGAGATGGAGTCTTGCTCTGTGCATAGGCTGGAGTGCAGTGGCAGTCATGATTTCAGCTCACTGCAGCCTCTGCCTCCTGGGTTCAAGAGATTCTCCTGCCTCAGCCTCCCAAGTAGCTAGGACTACAGGTGCATGCCACCGTGCATGGCTAATTTTTGTATTTGAAACAGGGCTTTAGCATGTTGTCCTTGTTCCCCTAAATGATTAAGGTTAGGCTGGTCTGTCGAACTCCTGACCTCAGGTGATCCAGCCATCTCAGCCTCCCAAAGTACTGTGATTACAGGCCTGAGCCACCATGCTTGGCTACCTAGTTGAGATATCTACCTCTGTGTGTGTGTGTGTGTGTGTGTGTGTGTGTGTGTGTATACGTACATATATACATATATATGTACACATACATACATACATAAAGTACTTAATAGTTTTAAAAGGACATATTTTTAGGCTGGGCCCAGTGGCTCACACCTGTAATCCCAGCACTTTGGGAGGCCGAGTTCACGAGGTCAGGAGATCTAGACCATCCTGTAATCCCAGCACTTTGGGAGGCCGAGTTCACGAGGTCAGGAGATCTAGACCATCCTGTAATACCAGCACTTCGGGAGGCCGAGTTCACGAGGTCAGGAGATCTAGACCATCCTGGCCAACATGGAGAAACCCCATTTCTTTTTTCTTTAAAAAAAAAAGGACATATTTTTGTTGGTTATTTTCCCCCCTTCAGGAATGTGGGTTTTGAAATGTCATCTGTTTCATTTCATTTTTCACACGGATGTGACATATCTTGACAAATTATTTATTTTCATTCTTTATCGTTCACTCTTCTGCATCTAGAGTGTTGTTCAGATGAAATATTCTGTCTCAACAGCTTTATTGAAGTATAATTGACAGGCAATAAACTGTAAATATTCAACGTATACAATTTAATGAGTTTTCACATATGTAATGTACCCCTAAAACCATCACTACAATCACGATAACTTTATTTTATTTATTTATTTATTTTTTTTTTTTGGCACAAGATCTAGTTCTATCGCCCAGGCTGGAATGCAGGGAGAGGGGCATGATCTCAGCTCATTACAACCTCTACCTCCCGGGCTCCAGCTGTCCTCCCACCTCAGCCTCTCAAATCGCTGGGATTGCAGGCTCACAGCACTATACCCAGCTAATTTTTGTATTGTTTGTAGCAATGGGGTTTCACCATATTGCTCAGGCTGGTGTTGAACTCATGAGTTCAAGCAAGCCACCACCTCAACTTCCCAAAGTGCTGAGATTACAGGCATGAGTTACCACACTCAGCCATGAACATATGTATTACCCCATAAGTTTCCCTATGGCCTTTTGTAATCTCATCTGCCCCACCCTTCTGTTTCTATCCCCATGCAGCCAGTGCTTTTTGTCACTACAGATTAGTTTGCATTTTCTAGGATTTTACCTAAAAGGAATCATGCAGTATTATTTTTTGGTCTAACTTCTTTCTCTCTGCATAATGTTTTATTGTAGTATATATTAGTAGCTAATTCCTTTTTAATGGGTAGTATTCCATTATATGGGTATACCATAGACTTGTTTATCCATTTACCTGGACATTTGGAGTGGAATATACTTTTTCTTTTTTTCTTCTCTTCATGGTCATGAGGCAAGCATGGGTTGGTTGTACTTTTTTTCTTTTCTTTTTCTTTTTGTTTTGTTTTGAGACAGAGTTTCACTCTTGTTGCCCAGGCTGGAGTGTAATGGTGTAGTCTCGGCTCATTGCAACCTCTGCCTCCCAGGTTCAAGCAATTCTCCTGCCTCAGCCTCCCGAGTAGCTGGGATTACAGGCACCCATCACCTTGCCCAGCTAATTTTTTGTATTTTTAATAGAGACAGGATTTCACCATCTTGGCCAGGCTTGTCTCAAACTCCTGACCTCAGGCGATCCGCCTACCCTAGCATCCCAAAGTGCTGGGATTACAGGCATGAGCCACTGTGCCCAGCCTGGGTTGTACTTTTTAAAATAAATTATAGGCCAGGCATGGTGGTTCATGCCTATAATCTCAGCACTTTGGAAGGCTGAGATGAGCAGATCACTTGAGGCTAGGAGTTTGAGACCAGCCTGGCCAATATGGTGAAACCCCATTTCTACCAAAAAATATAAAAGTTAGCTGAGCGTGGTGGCACATGCCTGTAGTCCCAGCTACTCGAGAGGCTGAGGCAGGAGAATCACTTGAACCGGGAGGTGGAGGTTGTAGTGAGCCAAGATTACACCACTGCACTCCAGCCTGGGTGACAGAGTGAGGCCCTGTCTGACAAATAAATAAATAAATTATAACACAGGAGAATTTTTATTTTGTTTGACCAGCTGGTTCCCAAGGACTTACATGCCAAGAAAGGTGGACAGAGGAGCTACTTGAAAAAGTAGTTTGCATTGCCCCAGGTTCACTTTCAGTGATCTGTTTCATACTCTCTTGCTTTTGACAGGCTTTGGTGTTAAGATGTTGAGTACTGCCAACATGAAAAGCAGTCAGTACATTCCGATGCATGGCAAACAGATCCGTGGACTAGCTTTTAACAGTTGCTCCAGAGGCTTACTACTGTCTGCTTCCCTAGACAACACAGTTAAACTGACCAGGTGAGTGATTTGGGGAGGAAGGTGGAGATTTGGCTGTTGAGTGTTGAGTAGCGTGAAATTAATATCAGTGTTATGATGACTTTAGCTCTGTTTTTTTTTGGTCTGAGACATTGTCTTCTGAGATCCATTTAAAATATATTGCTTTTAGAAATGGACACAGGAGGTTACAAAACTAAGCATAGTATCCTGTTTTGTTAAAATTATATGTTACAAAAGATGTCTAAAGCATATTTTAAGGAGATGAGAATAAAATTCTAAAGCTGGTGGAGGCCAGGCGTGATGGCTCACGCCTGTAATTCCAACACTGGGGGAGGCCAAGGCAGGCAGATCACCTGAGGTCAGGAGTTCGATACTAGCCTGGCCAACATGGTGAAACCCCTTCTTTGCTAAAAATACAAAGATTAGCTGGGCATGGTGGCAGGCATCTGTAATCCCACCTACCAGGGAGGCTGAGGCAAAAGAATCACCTGGGAAATGGAGGTTACAGTGAGCTGAGATCGCACCACTGTACTCCAGCCTGGGCAACAGAGCAAGGCTCTGTCTCAAAGTAAGTTAATAAATAAAAATAATAAAAAAATAAAGTTTGTGGAATGATAGGATAGAGGGAGCTTTGGTACCTGACATCACAGAGTTACCATACCAGGAGTAAGGGACTGCTTACTCCTGGTCCTGGTCTGTTACCTGGATAATTCCGAGTAACAGAGATGTTCACCAAGCACTCACTGCCCTTGGGTACCATGATGACTTCTTTTATACCTCACTTACTTACTTACTTATTTTTGAGAGAGAGTCTTGCTCTGTCACTGAGGCTGGAGTATAGTGGCATGATCTTGGCTCACTGCAGCCTCCACCTCCTGGTTTCAAGTGATTCTCCTATTTCAGTCTCCCGAGTAGTTGGGATTGTGGTTGTATGCCACCTGGCTAAATTTTTTTTTCTAGATGGAGTCTTGCTCTGTCGCCAGGCTGGAGTGCAGTGGCTCGATCTTGGCTTACTGCAACCTCTGCCTCCTGGGTTCAAGCGATTCTTGTGCCTCAGCCTCCCAAGTAGATGGGATTACAGGCAAGTGCCACCACACCCAGCTAATTTTTGTATTTTTACTAGAGATGGTGGTTTCACCCATGTTGGCCAGGGTGTTCTCAATCTCTTGACCTCGTGATCCACCGGCCTCAGCCTCCCAAAGTGCTGGGATTACAGGCGTGAACCACTGCGGCTGACCACACCTCACTAATTTTTGTGTTTTTAGTAGAGGTAGGGTTTTGCCGTGTTGGTCAGGCTGGTCTCAAAACTCCTGACCTCAAGTGATCTGCCTGCCTCAGCTTCCCAAAATACTAGGATTACAGGGGTGTGCCACCATGCCCAGCCCCTTTATTCTTTTACTTCCTTACAACTCAAGAGGAAAACCTGTGGCCCCCAAAACAAATGTTCTAGAATTTAAAGGAGTTACCAGGGCAGATCTTAGAAAAAATAGGGAATCCAGATATTTTGGACATGTGAGTGTGTTCTCAGTTAAGGATTAAGGATCATTTAAATGATACTCTTTACATCTTTGTCATGTATTTGATTTTCTTAACGCAGTTGTAAAAGTCTCTTGTAACTCCACAGCCTGGAGACAAACACCGTGGTCCAGACATACAATGCTGGACGTCCTGTCTGGAGCTGTTGCTGGTGTCTTGATGAGAATAACTACATGTATGCTGGACTGGCCAATGGTTCAATTCTAGTATATGACATGCGAAACACAAGCAGTCATGTCCAGGAGTTAGTAGCTCAGAAAGCCAGGTAGGGAGCCGCTTACTGTCTTCCTGGTAGTAGTAGCTTTCTCTTGCCTTATTATTGTGTTCATTGTTTCTTCAGAGGGTGTTCCACAGTTGGTCAGAAATCCTCACAAGAGTTTTTGAAGATCCACTTGATGTCACTTCAGAATCAATAACATTCTTATTAATAAGAGTTTATATCTATGATATTTCATATGACAGAGAGTTCTGGTACAATTATAGCCAGGTTCATAGTCAGTAATCATCTAACATGGCAAAATAGAGTCAGATCTCTGTTCAGAACCCAGCCCCACTACTTATAAGTTGTGTGGCCGTAGTTGTATTTCTTGGCCCATTGAAAGCTTCATCTGTAAAATCTGGTCAACATAGGCCACTTGCTTTAATAGCCACATGTCTAGCACATAGGAAGAGAACAGTTAAGGCTAGCCTAATAAAAAGTGATTTAAAACTTATGTAATCCAAAGCTAAACCAACTTGTTTGAAGATACTGTATTCTTTATCGTTTAATCCATTTATGAGATTGAGAAGTTTATAAAGTCAGACCAAGTTCTGAGGATGGATGGCCACCAGCCCCACTATGTCTTAGAATGTGTTGAGCTGCCCTGTAGGTATAAAGTTCTCAGAAGGGGAATAAGGTCTGTGACCTGGCCAAAATGAAAAGTATCACCTAAGAGATAATTTTGTTTCCAACTGGATATATTAAAAAGAGCAAGGAGAGCTAAACATAAAGATATCAATAAAGTAATAATTATTTACTGAAAACTATGCTCACATAGAGTAGACAGTAAAATACAGCAAGGTTTTTCTGTTGGTGACAGGTTTTTTTTTTTTTTTTTTTTTTTTTTTTTTTTTTTTGGTGACGAAATCTTTTTTTGTCACCCAGCCTGGAATGCAGTGGCATAGTCTTGGCTCACTGCAACCTCTGCCTCCTGGATTCAAGCAATTCTCCTGAGCCTCCCAAGTAGCTGGGATTACAGGTGCCTGCCACCACGTCCATCTAATTTTTGTATTTTTAGTAGAGATGGGGTTTTGCCATGTTGGCCAGGTTGCTCTTGAACTCCTCACCTCAAGTGACCCGCCTGCCTCAGCCTCCCAAAGTGCTGGGATTACAGATGTGAGCCACTACAGCTGGCCTGGAGGTTGGCTGTTAAATCATAACATCATATGTTCATATTGTTCAAAAATGTAAAAAAAAAAAAAAAAAAAGTAACATCAGGTCTGCCTCCACTCTATACCAGTGTTACTGATCCACATTGCTTATAACCAGTCTGTGGTAAGCTGAGTACAGGAACTAAAAGCTTGGAAACTTTATGGCAATTAGACATTTGTGGGTTATTCCATGGATCTGTCCCATAGAGCAGGAACTAGTCTAGTTTGGGTGTGAATGAACTCTCATGGTAAGGGCAGATGCCATGGACTGTAATAGAAGGATGATTTGGTAGGTGATGGCTTGGAAGGTAAAAAGAAGCAAGCAGGGAAACAAAGCACCAGTCCTTCCCTGTGGATAGAGCTCTACAATACTCGCGACCACATTATCACTCACTCGTCTTCCATTCATAACCTGGTTAGAAGAAGAAAAATTGCCCATAGCCCCAAGAGTCTAACACAACCATTAATAGGATTCATACCTTTCCTTCATCTTTTGTTTTTTGTGTGTACATGCCTTTTACAAATACATTTGTAACCATAATCCGTCATGACTTCTGAATCTTAGGATTCACGTTCCTAAAATTATGGCAATTTTTGTGTTTCGTATAAAGTCTTAAAAAGACCTAATAATTAGTTATGTCCCGTAATTGTCTCTTCTTTTAGGAATTTTTGCCTCCTTCCACTCCAGTGAGTGTTTTTTTTTTTCATTTTGTTTTGTTTAGTTTTGAGACAGAGTCTTGCTTTGTTGCCCAGGCTGGACTGCAGTGGCGCAATCTCTGCTTACTGCAGCGTCCACCTCCAGGTTCAAGTGAGTCTCCTGACTCAGCCTCCTAGGTAGCTGGGATTACAGGTGTGCACCATCATGCCTGGCTCATTTTTGTCTTTTTAGTAGAGCCAGGGTTTCATCATGTTGGCTAAGCTGATCTCAAACTCTTGACCTCAGGTGATCCAGCTGCCTCAGCTTCCCAAAGCGCTGGGATTACAGGTGTGAGTCACCACGCCTGGCCCAGTTAGTGTTTATAATGTCTTGAGATTTTTGTGTTTTGGTGGGGAAAGAAGAGGAACACTTTTTTCCTCTATTCTAAATTTTGCTTGTTTATTGCCAGGCAACCAAAGAAGAACTGCTAGAAAATAAATCAAATCTCTTAAGGATTCTGTTCTCATTAATCCCAGGGGCAGCAGTAGGTGCAGTTTTTATCCTGTTAGTTTTCTGTTTCAGATAAGATAAAATTCTTATAAGTCCCCAAGCTTACCTGGTGGCTAAGACTCCAGGAGATGAGCTGGCCATCTGGTGAAACACCTCCTACACAGAGGCATCTCCCATGGTGGAATGTCATCCAAAGGGCCATGGTTCTGAATCCCCCAGCTCTGCCCACTGCCCGCTGGCCATCTGTTCCCCCTCACCCTCCCTCCAGGGTTTATTTTGGCTTTGCTTGCTGACTGATGAGATCTCTTCAGAGTCACCTGTGCCCACCTTGAGCTTTTTTTTTAACCCCTTCCCAAACCTTGGAAATGGTTCCAGATTGTAGTCACTTGTTTTGTGAATTCAGGAGGATGAACATGAAGGAGATAGGAGGACATGGTCATGTTTGGGTCAGATTCTTGTACCACTCTGCTTCTTTTTGCTGTGGCACCTCCACTTTGCGGGCTCAGCTTTTTGGCTAACGGTGTTTGAAGCCAGACCTTGCTAGAAAGGAGCTGACTCCGCTCATCCTGCTAGGAAATCCACATGTAATTCCTCACCAGTGAGTTGCTTATTTCAAGCCATCTTTAAGAAAGATGTTTAATAATATGTTCAATATTCATTATTCATAGAAAAATAATTTCTAGAACAGTCTTGTTCACTTCTGACCTTTCACATAGAGCACATCTTTAAGAATAAATGGTTCCCACCAATGTATAGATAGAAACCAACCAGTCACATATTTACAAAACATGCACGATGCGTGGAGTAAGACTAGTGCTAGGTAAGGTTCTCAAGGTGGTCCCAGTACTGCGTTGAAGGAATATGAGTAAGGACAAGGTTGCATGAAAATAACTCATTGAATGTGAAAGCTTGAGTGTCCAGGCACAAAATAAGTGGTACAGAGAATAGATGCACTGGGCTGTCAAATTTAGCATCCACTTTACCTCGAGTTGCAATGTGAATGGACTGCTGGGGTCCCTAATGCTGAGAACTTGCCTGAAATCAACAACTACTGAGTGTCTGTCACTTGGGACCTCATGACCTGGGATGGTGCTAGGGATCTTCTGGGAACTTCTGAGTCACTGAGTTTTACCAGAGCAGGTCTTAAAGAATCATGTACCAGCAACAGAATCTTTCAAAGCAGAGTTGGCGCTTTGCTTCTGAAATAAATTCTTATCCACAGCACACAGTAGAAATTACGGATTAAAATTATATTAAAATTGTTTTACTTGAATTGCCTAAAACTGTAGAATGTCTTTACTAAACAACTGTGTTTCATCTGATTATAATAAAAGTAATAGTTTCCACATATTCTGCCAGCATTTCCCATGTTCCAAACACTGTGCAGCGTGCCTGACATGCTTATGTGGCATTTAATCTTCACAGGCCTCTTATGAGCTAAGAACTATCATTGTTCACATTTTGCAGAGGGGGAAGCCGAGGCTTAGAGAGGCGGTACAGCTTGCCCAGGACCACATAGCATAATGTTGGATCAGTCCTTCTGAACCCAAGGCCTGTGCTCCTGTCCACTGCTAAGCTAAATGCTCTCCGTGACCATATCTGCTCTTCCTCTGCCCCGCAAGCTGCATCCCAGCTCTAAGGATGAGAGGAAGCAGTTGTGTCTGATGGGCATGTATTGCTGTGGGCATTACAGAGGCCTTTCACATCTGCTATCTCTGTAGTATGATCCAGCCACAAAGGGTGAAGGTGTGAGTGAGGGTGGCTGTGGCTCATATTATGTATGTATAATCCTATTTTATATAACATTATATAGAAATATATTATCTTTATACAATACGTGAAATATATATTTAATTAAAGGAATGTAAAATATGAATATGTATCATATAAAATATGTTAAAATGTTCTCACACCTTCAAGTGTGTGTGTGTGTGTGTGTGTGTGTGTGTGTGTGTGTGTATATATATAGTGTCACTACACTCTAGCCTGGAGTTTGATATATATTTTTATATATGTTATATATATGTTTGAAGGTATATATCATATATATATCCCACTCTGTCTCCCAGGCTGGAGTGCAGGGGCACAATCATGGCTTACTGCAGCCTTGACCTCCAGGGCTCAAGCGATCTTCTTGCCTCAGCCTCCCGAGTAACTGGGACTGTAGGTGTATGCCACTATGCCTGGCTACTTTTTTAAAACTTTTTTGTAGATCTGGGGTCCCACCTTGCTACCAAGGCTGGTCTTGAACTTCTCAGCTCAAGTAATCTTCCTGTCTCCCAAAGTGCTGGGATGACAGGCATGAGCCACTGAACTCGGCCATATTTGTGTTTTCTTGTTTTAGATTTTAGGCACATGCTATATAATATTTATTTCTAATCTGCTATTGTTGGGGATGATGAGAACTGACTAGATAGTGTTTTGCACTTTCCCCCATTCCCTTGTGGTGCTTGAGACTCAAGTACACTGGCAGGAATTCTGAAGAATTTTTATGGAATTCTTCAAGACTCACATACATAGGTTGAATCAGTTGTGCTTTTGCTCTACTTTCAAACCTTAGCAAACACACAGACCTGAGTCACACCATGACCACATCTACATAAAATTTAGATGCCACAGGATATGAGTCTGAAGCTGCCCTTTGCGCTTGGTGAATTAAGACTTTGTCCTGGGGACCCATCATTTTCCCTGCCCTTGATGACCACTATATTTTTCATGTGGCAATATGGATAATAATGAAATTCACATAAATTTATACCGGAGAACTGTATCTGAGGTGGATGTTAAGAATTTCTTGCACCTACATACTCAGTTTAGAAATTCCTAGTAAGTTTCTTATACCATTCGTCTCTTTAATAGTAACTATTGAGTACCTGCTGTATGCCGGGGCTGTACTGTCTTTGACCTAAAGATGTATCGTTACTCCTGGCCAGCCCATTTCTCAGGGCAGCCGCTAACTACATCTAAGTGACCTCCGGTACTTACCTGTTCACCAAATACTTACTGGATGCCAATGATCTACAGAGATGGCGAGGTGTGAGGGCATAGTGATAAACACCTATAATATTCTAGGCTGAGGTTGGGGGAAACTTGGTCAAAGACATGTCACCAGGCATCATAACACAAAGAAAAGTCCCTCCGAGGGAAACAAACAATCAAAATGCATAAGCAAATGCTGGATAAACAGGTAACAATCATTTAATCCATCTCCCTATTTTACAGGTAAGATATTGAGGCCCAGGGAAGAAACATCTGGTCAAGTTAAATAACCCATAACACTGGTTTTCATTTTTGGGTTTGGCAACCTTTTAAGTACCACCAATAGGATTTAGGAATAAAATTGCCTTATCAAACATTTTCCTGCTTTGACTCTCATTTTTCTAAATAGCTAACCTGGGATGGGGAGAATGAATATCCTAGGCCCCATTTTCTAGATGAATAACTTCAGACACACAGAGATTAGATGGCTTGCTGGTGGTCACTCACACTGGTTAAGGAGAGTGACAGCAAGAGCCCG